TATATATATATATATATAAAGACATCAAGGCCGGTGGTGACCATTTTATCTATTTAACTTTATCTAGATATTAAACAGAGAAACAAAGTTTGACATCAGATTTATTTTGCCATGCAACTAGAAGCAAACAGGACTTTAAAATGATGACCAGCCAGTAGCCTTCACATAAACTGGTGTTGATTTCTTGCCCTGATTTCATTTCTCGTCTTTGGTTTGTGCAGGAAAAGGAGATTCAGAAGCTTAGGGAGAAAAATGCGGATTTGACTGCTCAGGTATGACCTCTGACTCTGCCATATACTTATTATATGTTGTCCTGTTTGTGTTTTTCACCATTTTACAGCCAAACTTTAATCTCTGAAAGCATAAGAAGTATGTAATTATTGGTCACATGCCAAATTCACTGATAGAATTAAAAACCACAGCCACAACTAAAAATGCTTTAAAACTGCATTTAGCTGGCATTCATTTCCGTGCACCCTCTTCTGGATCCAACTCTCACTCTGAGCCGCTTGTCTTTCAGCTGGAGCAACTCTCACTAGGAGAGAAATATCAGGAAGAGATACAAAACCTGAGGACAGCTGAGCAGGAACTGAAGGTAAAACCCAGTTCTTCACTTAAAATGATATAGTGATATACATTTCCCCAAACTCCTCAATAGCACATTCATTCAGTTCTAGCATTATAGTTGATGGCTGACTGGTTGTGTGTTTTGTAGCACAAACTGGAGGAGGTTCAGAAAGTCCTATGTGGTAAAGATGAGGAAATAGTTAGGGTATGAACAACTTTATGAAATCTTCAAGATCACATTTTGTAAAAATTACCTGTAGCACCACTTCATTTTATTTTTTTGATGAAAAAGTCCCTTAATCTGAGTGTTTCTGCAGAAATCTATTACCTTGATTCAAGAAAATAACGAGTTAAAGGAGTATTTCAACAACATTGAGGTATGTACCACATACAATGTGACACAGTGTGTGTGTGTGTGTGTGTGTGTGTGTGTGCTTACTGTGGCCATCATTGGACCCATCTGACATTTCATCTCTCTTCTGCAGGACCTCAGACAGGATCAGCGAGAACTTCGACAGCAGCTGAGCAGCAGACAAGAGGATCAGATTTTGTAATTACAGTTATATTTTTGCTGGTTATGCTGGTAGAACAGTATTACCTACTTAAACATACTACAAGGAGTTTTGAACTGCATATCAAACAGTATCGATTTATTACTGATATGACCTACATAAACAAACTACTAGAGAAAAGATTGGCTATTTCTACTGTATATAGAGAGACTTAATGCCTGCCTCTGGGTTGAATTCTGTCAGATTCCCCTTGAAATAAATAAAACAAGGCGTTGCTTTAATAAAAAAATAAAGTGTAGTGCATTTGGGTGGTTGATGACAGCGTCGACCATGTTGTAGCTTAGCAATCTACACTGAGCAGAAGTCTGTGTGGAGCTGTCTGTTTTCTCACATTTATCTGTGTTTTGGTTTGATAGGGCTACACAGAATTCCCACAAGTCCACAACAAATAAAAAAGGATGTATGTTTAGCCGATGTGCTAAGGGCCCATGGAAAGGATTAAAGGTAGCAGGAGCTGTGGCCTTTTCTGTCCTCCTTCCTGTGGGTATCATGGCCTCCATGGCGCCTGTCTGCAACAGTCCAGATCCTGACTGCAACCTTTGGAACATTGCTTTCGACCTGCTGGAGCCCTACAGCGAGCTCTATCACATGCTCCCTCCTGTTTACTAACACAAGGTTGAAAGTGGGATGCAATGTCACTGTTCCAACGGCTCATTATTCAGGAATGAAATAATATCCCCAATAAAAAAGCACAAGGAGTTAGTCTCTGAGTGCTTGCATTCTATTCTATTCTACTTCTTTCTGGCAGTAAATGGGTGGACCCAGTTGTCACTGTATCTCTACGTATAATTGGTTACAATCCTTGTCTTTTTCTCAGAGTGGTTGGGAAAATGGAAAAAGTATATATCTAACTGTAGTAATGGAGGTCAGCCTTCAGGTAGAAGTAACACTGGTACTTAATTCTTCAGACATATAGATATTATTTTAAAATATTTACATATTATTATGTATTATGAATATTATTTACATATATTTTCATTTTCAATTATATTATATTATCATTTGTGGTCTTTGCCAAGGTTTCTTCCATTTCTTCCTGTTAAAGGGATTTTTTGGGAGTTTTCCCTTGCCCCCTCTTGTGGGGGGTGCTATTTTAAAATGTTTGTGTGGAGTTGGTATATTTGCCTGTGGAGTAATTCTTCAAAGATTTTTTTTTTTTTTT